GTTCACATGTTTATGATACCAACACATTTTTTTCAGCAGGATTATCTCCACATATTACCTCTACTTTTCGAACAGTCAAAGCGTAAAGACAATAGCCAGAAGTAAAAAGCTAACGTCATGATATCAACTACTTCACAAATGCATTATATGGCCATGGTCCTATTTGACCACTTGTTAGCAACCGCCTTTTTTTAGACATGTAAAAGCTTCAGACATTCACCAGTGGGGTATTCACTGCTATTAATATCGTAGAAATATATTGTAAGCTTGTTTTAACCACAGACCTTATTTCAGGCACCAAAAACTCATTAGAAAAACGACTGACTTGACGATGGAACCTGAAAAGGGCTAAAATGCTAACCCATTACGAGGTGTAGGGCCCTGCACCACACTTTAAGATCATTAGGATAAGATGATTAAACACTCACCTCACCTAATTTACATGTTAGAAATAAACCCAAACATATAAGCGAAGCATCTGCATCCCCAACAAATAATCATTAAGTAGCAGAAGGATGTTGCGTTTACTTTAAGATTCAATCACCTCTTTATTTTAACCTGGGGAGAAACTGACAGCAGCACCCTCGAGGTCTTTAGTGATAAACAACTTTTTAACAACCAGAATTGCTGATCTGTCCAAATAGTGTAATAGCTCCGCAAACAACCCGAGCCTGATCAATTCTTTTAGGCTGGCCTAGGGGCAGCTTTAAGGAGGGCGGCCTGAGCACAGCTATACAGCGCAATCAGGTTGTGAGGCTTGGAGCAGGATCTCTTAACACTGTTACGACTGGCAGGTAAACAGTTGGTTTCCTCCCATCCAGGATTTATCTGAAATACGGGACCCTTGCGATGACTAAAGAGTGTGTGAGTAATTTGTACACCTTGGCCTGAGGGCCCAACTGAGCACCGGATAAGAGGAGTCCGCCCAGGATATGCAAATACAAAACCTCCCCTCCGTCCAAATACTGACACACACACACAAGTAGGCAAGCAAAACTAAAATAGCTCATGTAAAGAGTGCAAGAGCAGGTTATTGGGTGATTGACAGGCTCCCAGGGCATGGTAGTTGTTAAAGTGAGCATAAGAGACCAAAAAGAGCGATGGAAATAAATGCAGTCAGATAGTATACCTTTCAAAGCTTCCCTGTAATGAACTTCTTTGATGGCCATGACAATAGAAACAAAATGATATCTGAAAATATGTTTTGGATAGAGGCTCCCAACCACTTGAGGCCGCTAAAGGCTATAAAAGACAATACATTTTTTAAGACATAATTCAACTCTTCATAGATCTCCTGGGGGGGTAAAAGTGAGCGTGGGGGGCACGTTTTGACTCATGAGAGCATTTCATCTGGGTCAATATGTCTTTAAAAAGTGAGCTGTGCCAACAGAGGGAAACGCTCAGGGTAGGAATGTATGACCCCTTTTCAGGATGACTCGCACACTACCATCTACTTGGCAGACTGACGCTTCAGTCACAGCAATATGACTGAGAACTCTCACCCGCGGCTTACAGATTTCAAAATAGAACTACTGAAGGATTTATGTCTGACTTACAGCACGATAACCTTAGTGTAAAGGTCAAAATGAATAACAAAGTCAACCAATTTAAAGTATGTGGTGCTTCCCTTCATCTTCAGATCTCTGCTGAAAACCTACTGATATAGTCCAGTGCTTGCTTTAGTTGACAGACATTACTGCACATCGGGGTATAAAAAGATATAATAAACATTAAGTCTTGAGCTTTCAAGAAAGACCACCTGTAAGCTGGAACAACTTTATCAACTATCTCAAGTCATTGGTGATTATACTGTGATGTTGATTACTGACGTTAATGAAAGACGTGTAATCATCGTCCACCCTGATATGAAGACAAGATACCCTCAAGGGCACATTGGAGAATATCTTGCCCCTACGGTGTCAGAATCAAGCTAAAAGTCAAATATATTTGTTAAATATTTGTTGGTCTTTTACTTATCCCCAATCCCAAAATGACTTTCTTTTTCTCTGTTTCAAGCTATTAAAGACAGTGTTAATGTGTTATTAATTGTTTAACAAGTTTACCTTTGCTAGGTGTGAAAATGAACAAATTGCCATAATATTGCAAAGGTGATAATCTAACAAAAGAAAGTTCCTTAATCTCAATTTCTCCTCACTATAACTTATTATAATCGGCCAGTGGTGATTGTAGGGACTCATTTCAGTCAGCACACGCTTAACTTCCAACTTCAAAAGGCAACTGCAAATCAATAAAAAGGTGAGTTCTATAATCTACAATGCTCCCAAGTGGACACAAAAACATGTAAAACGGACTAAAATACGATAATGTTGGACTTCCATTGATACATTGTTTGCTGTGATAGAACTTTTTTTTTTATTCCGGCTGCACAGCCACAACTTGTAGATGATAAATGAACCAGATTGTAAAGCGACTTTGTATGCCTTCATCAAAGTAATGTATTGCTGCTTTATAGAGCCCTTTAAGATTGTATGTGCCTTGCAGAAACCAAATCTTATATTTCTTTGTAATAAGAAAGCCGCTTCTTTCCATTAAAGAATGCCATTTCTCTCTTGTTTTCCTGTACATATATCACACCACAACAAAGTGGTGCTATTGATGGCATGTCAATCCAAATGCACGCACTGTCTTTGACCACTTGTTGTGAATTAAATGGTATTTTCCAGTATTGACACCACATCACAGCCACACTATGTTTGTGCAACATGTACGCCTTGCAGAGGTGCAGAGCCTGTAAAGAAACACAATGATTTGATCTGTCAAAGCCTTTGACAAAGCTGTGAAAAGTCTTGACATGATCAGATTTTCCTACGTAGGTGGTGTGTGAGACACAGAGCGTAAAATGATCGGTTGCTCGGTGTGTGTGCTTGGGGTGACATTTTCTCCAAGAGTGCAGCTTCCTGCTCAAACCCACACACTGGCTCGCCTTAAGAGAAAAAAAAGACAAAACTGTTGCTGGACAAACCCACTTGTTAATAACTTATTCAATTCTAGATTTTCACAACTAAGAACGATGAAGATACATATCGCGAAACTTGAACCACAACATCTCTAATAGACATTATTATTTCCAATCATCATAATCCTCCCAGGACTTCACATACACTCAGAAACCTGTTAGACGTCTAATGTTTGACTTGTCATTATTGCCACCATCTGCTTTGTAATATCTAACACTTCCCTCAGGCACACAGACATTTGGAAACCCTGAGGGTCCAATCCACTCATCTCTTTAGCACCTGTATAAAGTTTACACACATCTACACTTTCACAACAATGAGACAGACAAAGAACATAACATAACAAGACTGTGTATATAACAGCTGTTAAGACATGTTGTTAATATCTACTAGGGCTTGTTCACATTTGAAGCCTCTTTTGAGGTTTTTAAATGAAGCTTTGAATGTTTGTCGCCATATTTTATTATGTCATCATCCTAAAAAGATCCCTCGAACAAAACCTAATTTAAAGGGGACCTATCATGCAAAATGCACTTTTTTATGTCTTTTATACATAAATATGTGTCCCCGGTGCGTCGGGGAACTCACGCAGCGTCAGAAAATAAAACCCTCTCTTTTCCTCCGTACCCAAATCTTTTAAAAACGGGTGTACAACGAGCGGATACAGATTTGCTGCCGATATGACGTCAAATCGGCAGCGGACCCACAGAAAGTTGTTCTCAGAAACAATGCCTGACGTGTTTTGGACGTCTTTGTTTACATTAGCAAGCCTCGCTAACACTCAGAGCTAACCTGTACTGAAGAGCACATGTGTTTAAAGCAGGAAATACAAAAAGGAACTCACCTTGTGATAAACCTGCAAGAGAAAAAGCATTTGAGCTCCATACTATTTCAGAAATAATCCTTGATGTGGTTTAGAACAGGATGACATTTTATCACAGCAGGATTTTACTTTATCTCCGGTAGAATTCTGATCAGGCATTAGCTCCGCCTCCTTTTCTTCTTTTTTCAAGCTAAGGACTCAAAATCTGTGTTTCTCTAACAGGGCTTCAAAAGAGGGGTATGAGCAGTATGAGGCATGGCTACAATGGGTGATCTGTTTGGTATTTTAAGCAACAAACTTCACAGACATGTTTTGTATAGGTATGGCCCTACAATATATGTTTTCAATATAGCATAATAGGTCCACTTTAAATGAAGTTATTCATCTAATTAAATCAGTCTTTTTTTAGTAAATCAAATATATTTCTTGTTGGAGCTATTATGTTTGTGTTAGATTGTCCCATTAGTAGAGGGGTGTGCGGCAAGTAGGCCAGACATTTTGTTGGATTAAAGCAGAATATTTCCTAGATGAAAAAATGCTATCTTTTATAATGTTGAAATTTAAACTTTAAATGGTGTGGAGTTAAACATATTTGGTTAGACTAATTGGAAACAAACCTACGCAGTCACCAATATAATCTCATTCTACTATTAGCACAAAACAAATAACATAAGTGTCACCTGTTCATTACGCAGAACGAATAACCATGCAAAAAGAGGAAGCTGCACAGCATTAGAATATAGATTGAGAATACAAATGAGGCTTCCAACTATTTGGTACAGCCCTATTATAAACCAACCGGTACTTGTCTAATCGTAGGTGTTAACCATGCTTTTCTTAAAGGACCAGATTCACCATGCAAACCAATACCTTTGACTCACACAAAAAACGAGACATGCCACGAGCCCTGGGCCAACCTTAAAAAAAATGCATACAAGATACAGATTATTTTTTTTATATTTAATTTTTCAAATTGGCATGCGCTTGTTTCGACTCCATAATATTGTATGGCCAATAGTTTATCTTGAAATATAGACCTACCACGGTATAAACATAAATACTCAACTCATTTTAGATCCAAAAAGGGAATGGAGCACTATTTTAACTGGTTATGTCAAATAGGTTCAATACAACAAAGATACATATTTACACTCAGACACACAGAAGCAAACCCAAGCACAACCAGAGACACACCCAGAGACAGGTGCTTTCAGAGCATGTACAATCAGTCATCTTTATTTCAAAATTTACAAATCCTCTGGCAGAGTGTCATGACACACCCAGTGTAAAATAAACTCATTTGTACATGGTAATATTAAAAGCTTGTTCTAAGAGCAGGTAAAACCTCTTTCACCTCAGCAGTCAAGTCATTCATTTTCCATTCACTGCACTCTTATATGACACCGCTTCCATTCAAAGTAAACGTATTGCTTCAATGTCAAAAATTAAAAGTGTTCACTTGTCTGTGTGTGTATCTGTGGTGTTGTGTGTGCATGCACGTGCATGTGTTTGTTCTCGCAACCCCATGGGAAAATCTCCAGGTGTTCTCCAAACCAAAATGTCTACCCCATGATCTAAAACACAGGCAGCAGTAAACCAGAACAATGGTTAACTGATCCATATTCCAATAGCTGCAGCACACCTGCAAACTAAATGAACCTCTTTTTCTCTTTTGAGGGTTCATGCAGATCAAAACTAGAAAAGAGGCCGTGCAGTAAGAGATGCACATTCTCCCTGGCTAAGAATAAACTACTTTCCACAAAAACAATTGATAAAAAAGCCAACTGCCATATAAGCGTAGAAAAATAAGACTCAAATTTTAAAAGTTTAAAAAATACTAATAGTATTTAGAAACAAAATGCCAAGGAGTGGTTTATCCTGCTTGACTTAAAAGACTATTGTTGTTCTTCAAGCAGTCAGACTTGTCGTTTGAATCTTTAAAAAAAGAAATACATTGGCTCTTTAGTAATACTGTATCTATGAGGCAGTGATCGGCAGCGAGTTCCGTTGTATTGTTGGTCCCAAACGTTTCTTTAAACAACACCACTAATAGTGGGACACCGTTAAAACGTTGGGTTTAGTTCCGTTGGTGGAGGAACTGCCAAAAAACAGTTCTCATCCCAGTACGAGTCAATTTAGCACCAACCTGGAGACTGAAGTGCTTTTCATTTCCTCCTCTCCTCTACCTGGTGAAAGCTTTTGTATGATTAGCACGGACAACGTCGTCAGGTGAAGGCGATTCGAAGCCGAATGGTACAATTGGCGAGAGTGGTGAGTGCGGCTCCTCGGATTTGTCCTGTGATTCACACAGGAAGGCCTGGTAACCACTCCCTGTCCTCTGAACTCGTATTCCTCCCTTGGATATATTAATCATCCTCTTCCGTTTTCTGCGGCCTGGAATCGACAAAGTGATCGCAAATACTGATGGTTGTGCAAAAACTGAAGGATCCAGTCCTGTGGCAACAGAATTTGGAGAAGAAGGTGAAGGGGGGTCGCTGTCGAAGTGACGAGGGCTTGCTCCATCCGACTGGGCCATGAGAGCACTCAAATCAATAGCATGCTTCATCTTAGGTGGCCTGACGCTTTGGTGGTATGGTTTGTGGTCGACCTTATGCCTGGTCCCACCCTCTGCAGTACTTTCTGCTAACACACCAGCCCTCTCTGGTGAAAGGAGAGAGCTGAGGGGGTACTGTGACCCATTTGAGGTGGTTGAGGTTTTGCCTTTGTGTTCAGTCGCCAAATGTGTCAAAGAGGGCAGCTCAGAGATGCCAGGTGGGTGTTTCAGTGCATTTGCTGGAGATTCACCGCTGAAGGGTTGAGGGGAAACAAAGGAACTGTTGGTTTGATGCTGCAGTGCTAGCTGAGACATTGACACAGTCCCAGAAACAAGGCCTGCAGGAGTATTGTTGGTTTGTTTAGGAAAGGGGAGAGTGTTTGCTGTTTTTTTAGTGCTCTGCGACTGCGATTGAATGAGCGTATCTTTGTTTTGGTGCTGTGAAGCGAGCCCAGACAGGGATAGTTGTGTTGATGCAGCCATCTCCTGACACGTCGCAGAAGTTACGCAGCTCAGGGGAGTAGGAAAGGAGTTACTGAGGGTCGGGCTGCGGTTTGAATATTCCTGGATTAAATCAGCCAAGGATGGGCTTCCCTTAGGATCAGCCTGTTTGGCTTGGCCTCCAATCGCAACTCCCACTGAGGGCTGATTGCTCAAGAGGACAGAACTTAGACTCCCAAACCCAGGAGGAGCCGCCAGAGAAGAGCTTGCAGTTGTTATCTTGGGGTTGATTAGCGACATACTACTGAGGGAAACTGAGAGGAGGGATGGAGCTGGGCCTTGAGATGCTGAAGTCATGTTTAAAGATGCCAGTGTTCCCAATGAAAGACCCTTCTGATTGGACATAATTGACGGAGGTGAATTATGTCTGATGGCGAGAGCACCTAATGAGGGAATTCCAAAACCTCGCCCTGCGTCACCTACTCCTGTCGCCTTACTCTTCTGCTCATGCTCAGACATAAGTTGTGCCAGACTGGCAATACCTGAACCCCCGTTTTGATTGATAACATTTAGATTTACAGAGCTGCTAACCACAGGGTCAGCCTTATATTGCGGTATGAGGTCACGCAAAGCACTTGCTTGCGCATGCGTTTGTTTGAGACAATCAGTCTGGGGTTTGTGTGCATTGGATGTAATGTCTGTGTGGGCTCCTTACCTTACAAAAGCCAATTAGAGTTGTCGAAGAGAAGAGACAGGAGGACAACAGAACAGGAGTCAGATGAATCATGCCGGAAATAAGAGGGAGAAAAACAGAAGAAGGCACTTTGTTAAACAGTTGCATCAGTGAAATTAGTCATTGCACACATGTTTTTATAAGTACAATACAATGAACATCAAGATAAATTCTTACATTTGGGGTGTTTTTATTTCGCATAGCGATGTCTATTCAAAACGATCAAATTATTGACACAGTCGGTATTCATTATGAAAAGAGGTAATTGATTATTATTCCTTAAAAAAGGGGAAATAGATCTTTAAAGGTGGGGTAGGTAAGTTTCAGAAACCGGCTCGAGATACACTTTTTGTTATATTCCATGGAATGCTCTTAACATCCCGATAGCAATGAATATCTTAAGTGCTTTGACAAAAAATCCATAAAAAAAAATTAATCTGTGGAAGCCGTAATACTGTAAAAAGCACGACCAATCCGTTTAGCCGGCCCGGCTAAACGGATTGGATTGCCGCCCTGTCTGTCAGCCTTCCATCTCGTGCACGCACAAATGTATCTCGTGCCCTCATTGGGCGTGCATTGCGCGTTCATGTGTGATGGAGGAGGTGCTCTGTAAGGAAGTCTGAAGGAAGGGGCGGATTCTTTTCGGCTGTGTACTTTCAAATTTGAGTGCACTCGAGCCGGTTTCTGAAACCGGCTCGAGATACAGTTTTTGTTATATTCCATGGAATGCTCTTAACATCCCGATAGCAATGAATATCTTAAATGCTTTGACAAAAAATCCATTAAAAAATGTCATCTGTGGAAGCCGTAATACTGTAAAAAGCACGACCAATCCGTTTAGCCGTTGCCGCCCTGTCTGTCAGCCTTCCATCTCGTGCACGCACAAATGTATCTCGTGCCCTCATTGGTCGTGCCGTCATTGGGCGTGCATTGCAGCAGTACTTCAATGACTCGCCAGCAACAGGCGGCCACTTTCACCAGTCTGCTGACGTCATGTGCGCGTTCATGTGTGTTGGAGGAGGTGCTCTGTAAGCAAGTCTGAAGGAAGGGGCGGATTCTTTTCGGCTGTGTACTTTCAAATTTGAGTGCACTCGAGCCGGTTTCTGAAACGTACCTACCCCACCTTTAAGTGGCTACATGAGAAGAAAATAAAAAGTAAACATAAATTAATTTCATAAGAAATATATGAATCTTTTTTCCGTAGTAACTTTATCAGATCTTGTGCTTTGTTTGACAAAGTCGAAAAAAATGTCAAATGTCAAAATTAACCATTCTCTAATTCACAGCGGATCATTGATCACAACCCCTGACTCATAACATTTTCATAATTTGATCTGGTCCAAGCGTACCTTTCTCAGCGACGGCCTCTTTCTTGATTCTTTGTGGAAGCGGCGCTTTCTCCTGGCTTGCTATTGCGGCTGAAGCTGTCTCCTCATTGGTGCTTTTGGTAACCGGGGCTGTCTTAGCATCTTCAGAGAGGACTGCATCCAAGGCCTTCTGTGGGTCAAATCCACAGCTTATGGCTGCCTGGGTCAGGACTGAGTCTTGCACTGCATCTCCCAACACAGTCCGCATATGGTCCAGACAGGAAAACAGTTTGGCTATAAACAACAACACACACATTAGACAGACATTTCATTAGCAATCCAGAAAATAAATAATACATTACATTTTTTTTTATTTTAACAGACATTATGTCTTCAATGAGCACATTTTCAAGAACAAATGTAAAGGTCAGACAATCTCCATCATCTGTCAGACCGTTGCAGGGAATTCATAATATTACCTTGATCAAGAGGGTCTAGGTTGAGGCTGACGGTAGGGGACATGGGTACGTCATCTTCATATTCTTCCTCTTCCAACGGCTGCTCCCTTGGTGCTTGCCTCTCTTGACGTGAGTAGATGAACTGATTTGCTGTATAAAACACAAATACCTTATTGGACACTTTAAAAACTAATATTTATGATACCGGGTTAATGCTGCAGAATTTAAACTAATCCTTTATTGAAAGATATTTTCATTAATTGAAAAATAACTGTTATCTTTAACTGTCATTTTATTTTACAAATCATGTGAAACAATGTTCTTACAGATTAATCTTGTCCATTAGCAAACATATCCTTGCTGAGCTATAATATTGGTTCCAATGATACTAACCTGTTGCTGGTGATATGCAGTAGTCATCATCCACAGACTGTCCATACACGTCATCATCGTCAAAGTCTAGGAAAAATAATTAAGATTAAAATGTTTTCCCATTTTACACAAGCATAGATATATAATGCAGTAGAAGTACAGATAATGAGTCATTGTTACAGCTGTCACTCTGCGTGGTCAGCAACTTTACAGAATGTATAACAAACAGTAAATCGGGAACGAGTTAATCATCTCTATCAACTTCACTGTATGTTTTAGATATTATTAGGCTTAATAAATGAATAAGGTCAGGCAATTTCAATATACCATATTCAATAAAGTAGCAGAAGCTTGTAACGTTTATTTCAAAACAATGGACAGCTAGCCTGTTAGCGAAGCAGTCAGATAACGTGAACTTTTATAAAGATGATTAGTTATAGGCACATCACATCATGTTTTAACGTTGTAACCTATCTCCGAAACCTTGATATACGTAGAAAACAGTATTAAAGAGCAATGTATCTTGAGAAAGAGGCCAAGTGACACGACTGCAATGTTATCTTGCCAGCTAAAGTAGCTAGTATTAGCCGCTAAAGCTACAATCAACAACAGTACATGTTAGCTTAGCAGGCTAACGAATTTGAGGCCTTGTCGTGACGCCTAAATGGTTAACAACACCTAGTTGAGGGTATCTACCTTCATCGTAGTTATAACCTCGAACATTTCTGTGCCGAGACATTTTGTTTAAGTTTCTTCTCTCGGCTTGAGCGTAAATGTGTTTCGGCTCACAGACTGTTGTGACATGTGTCTCACTGCCGGACTGCCAATGCTACTGCCGCTGCGGCTGGTGCTGCTCGGTGAAAGTACAACAGCAGGCACTCAGATTGATTCTGAAGCCCGGAAAAAAAACATAAATTAAAACTGAGGTATAAAAACGAATTTAATTTCCAATTTTGGTTTTCTGTGGCTCGATGGTTAGCAACCTAATTATTAAATAAAATAAAAACTTGCTTTCAGACAATTGTTTTGTTTGCTGCTGACGTAACTTCCTGTTGCAGTTCCCTCTAATGCGGCCTGAGGTGAGGATCTCCCCAACAGACTTCATGAAACACCACACTGTATGTCAGATATAAAGTGAATTCCAATCAGTTGATTATTGTAGAGCTTTATTTTATCAGCAGTCAACTGATATTAGATTTAGGGACAGAAAAGTATGAAGGACATGAAAAGTATGAATTTATCAAAAATCATCAATGTAATGCTGTCTTGGTTAATGGACGAGGAAACACTTGAAATGCATATTTGCCATGTCTAATTCATTTGAAGAACAAAGACAAATTAGTAAAGAGATGTTCCTCTCTGCACAACCTTAAATAAGATTTGAAGAGTTCAAATGAAATGCAATGAAATTAGATGACGGTGTGTCTGCACAAAATACATTGCCAATCCTGATTTTGAGGTGTGAATTTCTAAACCATTTATTGTCAAAGGTTATGCCTTATGGTTAGAGATCAACCCATCTGAGCCCACACTCTACACACCTTACCCAGACACAAACACAATAAATGACATCATTTTTTCCTACTATCTTCACAAGAAACGTATAGCCTACCACGAAAGGGAAGTAGGCTACTTGTTTTGGTGTACATGTTTATCTCTGACTTGGTTTTTGCATTTCTACATGTCCTATACAGTATGTTCACATGCATAATGTGAGCAGCAGGTGTGTGCATTTGTGGTTTTTGATAGATTATGTTGTCCTGATCTCATCTAGTAACCTGCGTGCCGACGAAAAAGAAGAAGATGAAAATGTCATAACATAATCTGATATCAGTGATAGGTGAAATATGCACTTGCACATCTGCACCAGTGAAATTGAATATGAGGTTTGGGGTGTCACCCCAATCTAAAAATAGAGCAGAAGGAAGAAAGACGTCTGCTTAGGTAATTGTAAAAACCTTTTCACAATGAATGGCTCATATTACAACCGGCAATTTGACAAGAAAAGCTTTAATTGAAAGGAGCAAGCATGTAAAAACATGAGGGGTACATTCATATCAGGAGTATTTTTATTTTATTATTTATTGTCGCAAAATGTCACCTTTCGTTAAGAGTTTGCGTCTCTTTATGTGCGTGTTTGGTGTGCGTGTGCCTCAAAGTGGGTGGAGGTTTCCCCTCTAAAATTCCACTTCCTGCGTTTTGAAGTCTTGGTTGCACATCTACATGTCAAAATAAACAACTGCACGCACAGAGAACACATGCACTCACAGGTAAACAGACACAAACATGCTCACGTTACAGGGTCACACAGGTGACAGAGAGGGAACTCTTCCTTTGCATCACTAAAATGTTTCTAGGACACAAAACCAAAAGGCGGCAAAGAGCAACTGATATGTAATGGAAATGCATTATGTTCCACTAGAAGCTCAAGCTGGCATTACTTTGGTTTAACAAACCAAAAGTCTCTAGCACAGTGATCATCAGCGATATGAATTTGATGAATATGTTTGTTTCTTTATATTTATTTATTTAGTCTTTCTGCTTTGATAATTTAATCCCATTTAGAGATGAATTAAGCATGGGTTACTTCTGGCTAAAAGCCGGGGTTTCATTCCACACCTTCATAATGTGGTCACAGATTTCACGGAAAGAATGAATCAGTGGCGGGCGAGGAGGATATCTTAGAGAACTAATGTTGTGCTGATTAGATGTATTAAACAGATGGATGGACAGATTGCTAGAAGAATGAGCGGATCAGTGGATGCATGCTTTGTTTAAATGATGTAGAAATGGTGTAATTGAATGACTTATAAACAGTACGGTTTGCAATCATAATTGTTTTCCTCTGTAACCGAATTATATTAATATAATTCTAAAAGATGTGCAAAATGTTAGAGAGCAAGTGGGTGGCCATGGCTTAGGGAATTAAGTGAAAGCATAGTATTGCAAATTAGTCAACAACAGCATGCAAATCTGAAAACAGATTAATCCTGGTGTAATTGTAGAAGACAAAGCTTATGTGCAACTGGGTGAGGGGTGAAGTCCAGCCCAAAAGTTGGCAGTGGGTATGAGGTAATGCTTTCCATAATTTGCCAAGGGCATCATAGGAAAAGTCTTTCACAGGACCTCACCCCCTGGGCAAATGCAAAACCTACAACTTGGGGAGTATTTTACAGGTGGTCCAAACACGAGTCAACACAAAAACACATATGAAGTCCTTAAAGAAGCCTATATAATTTAAAGGTTATAATTATGAAACTAAATTAAAATAATTAGTGAATTGCTTGACAAACATGACACATATTAAATAATGCAAAAGTCATAATGTTCCTCATATTTATGCTGGATTTAAAAGGTACTGCAGTATAATGTTTACATCATTTGCATGTTTATATAAATATATTAGCAAAAGTCAACATATGGGTTTATCTAACCACATAACCATACAGGATCAAGTTCACTATTTGGCTTGGGATCAACCCTTTTCCAACACAGGCCTTTACATACACATAGACAAACACTCTCACACAGCAGCGGTTGCACACAGACCATAACAATGCACATGTTTGGCCTTCCCAACATTGGATCTGAAAGCATGGTGGGGTGACATCTCAAGCCCAGAAGCCATCTTTAAAAATCATTCAAATGAGCCAACCTGTGCACACAATGCTTTGCAAAGGGGGAGGCCATCACAATACCTGCCCTTAACCTGTCCAATCGCACCCATGCAAATATCCTTAGCTAGGAGTCAATGGGTCCCAGGCTTCCTACTCAATCTACACTGTGAATTTGCATACACTGGCTCCTTTCATTCAATTTGGTTTCAGATAACAAAATGTAGTTTTTAATAATACCCTCGAGGGAAGAGACATAGGGGCTTGTGCAGAAAAAAGCTTAACACACATATTTAAAGGTGCACAACTCACACATGTAAAATCAGAATGACATATTTGTTTATAAGTATGATTTTGGTTATTTATTTTGCTTATTTTTACAATGGCGTTATCACTGGCTATGTCTGATGTGCTGTACCATAATTAACTGATTGTCCTTTTCTTTGTTTGAATGTGTCCGGATGTAATACAGTATGATGTTTTTAAATGTTCCCAACAAAGTGTTTTCTATTCTACTCTTATTTCCTGACTTTTGACTTTGTATCTTGTATGGCAATTTTGTAGGATAGCTGCTAATAAAAATATAATTTGAATAGATTAGAACCACCAGCTCCTCAAGGCAAAAATGAATGGAACAATGCTTGTGTACACAGGTGTGTAGGATTTGAAGCCTACAGGCGATTGCAACCAGGCAACCATCAATTATAGGCTCGCAGTAAGACATATTGGCACTTGAAGTCAAAAGCAGATGATGATATTACACACATGTAGCCTCTAAACCAACACAATTCATCAATATTTAACTAATAACAGACCAATTCAAACAAAATACCTCCCATGCTGTACTTCATTTACTCCATGTTGAATTCTGTAAATCTTCATATTTCCCCCTGTCCACACACACTGAGTGATTCACTTCACTGAGCTCCACCCTGTTGCATGAAATAGTAAAATGTGCAGTCCAAGGCCATGTGTCTAAGACTGTGTGTAGTCCTTTATCAGGCCACTATTATGATGACTGCTCTGGGACAATAGACTGGTCTGGGGTGATGGTAATTACAAGTGACCAGGACAATATGGTCGCGTATGGAGGAACTAATACAATGAAGACACATTTATACAAATAAAGCATTAAGCCCCCCTTCTCCCTTGCAATGAATGGCTGAGCGATGACAGTCCTAGAGCAGGGAAGATGGAGAACTCAACCAAAACAAGATAATCATAATACATGGTGGTGGTGGCCAGTTGCATTAATAAAGTATAAAGCAGAACTTATGCAATACAGCTGGATCATAATTACATTAGTCATCTTTGAGAGAAGGTTGCTGAAAAACAGGCTAAACAAGTTCCTAATTTAAATGTGGATTATTTTTGAATACATGCAAAGACATCATCAGCAAGCTCCTGTTTAGAAGATGTAAAGGCAACTTGAGGAACAACTCCAAAATGAAGGATTTGTTGCTTTAAAGGAAGTTGGTCTAGAAGTTAAGTGCAATAAATCACCTCAAGCAGAAGTGACATTCAATGACTTTCTCTTTTTTAACATTATTTCTTGTCTTGGTGAGCACAACAGCTTGTTTTATCGCTTGATGATAATAGTCTAGCCGGGTCGTGAAAGCTTTATCACTGAGAAACATCTGTGTATTCAACACCAGCAAGCAGCACTACACTACTAACAAGTAGCCGAGAACAGAAAGCAGCACTTTGTACACATGCCAAACCCATTCCCCAATTGTTTGCTCCGTCCAGACACACTAGTTCCCTTCTCCTTTTCACCAGATGAGAAGTAACTCACAAATACTGTTGACAAAAAGCATTTAGCGCGGACAACCGGCAGAAACGCGCCTTTGACAAGTCGACTGTGTAGTTCCCGGTGCATTCAGGGACGCTTCGTAAATGTGTAAATAAATGTATATTTACAACTTAACCATTTAGGCACAAATATTATTTCACCAACATTCAATTGACCATTGCAATAATATGTTATCCAGACACGTTTTAATCATGGTATAAGTATTTTTTTTTTAACACTGTAGTAGGCTAAGTAAGCTAAGCAGTGTTATCAACATTGGTTTGCATAGTTTACTTTGTCACCTAAAAAGTGTGTTTTCTATTTTAATAATCATTATGTTTACTTATAATTTAACAACATTTGATGGAGAGAACATTAACATTATGACTTTCCACATGTTCATTCAAACAAAACGTCCGATTGTCTTTGAAGCATACTACCTGGGCATGCGCAGTAGCACAGCTCAGAAGCGCCAATTTTACCGGGATGCTAGAGGCTAGAAGGGGCGGAGCAGTAGTAGAGGCTGTGTAGTTTAAATTAATGTCAACCTGCCTCTGCCAGTAGATCAAAACCAGCAGAGATAGCGAAAGTACGAGCTCAGCGCAACCTGAGAGCCGCTCTACACA